AAAGTTACAAGGCTGCAACTATAGTACTATAAAGCTGAGAAACACAATAAATCCTACATAAGTCTAATAGAACTAACACACAATATATAAATACGAATACATTAAAAAAGCAAAAAGGGCCTTCAAGGTCATTATTATAAACTATTTTATACTACTCTTTTTCTAAGTACGTAGCGTATTCGGAAACTAAGTACCGTTTCATTCTAGCGCCGTCGCAGCGCTGTGGTAGGCGTCCCGCGCATGCGCACTAGTCTTTCTTGTTCACTGACTTTCAATTGTCGCCATTTTGGTTGCTCTATGTTGTGTTTTCAGTTTGCTGTGCACATTCAAAATGTTTAAGACAATTAGTTCTCCCGCTGACTGTGAGATTCGTGCCGTGATTAAATTTTTGAACGCGAGGAATGTTAAACCGGCCGAAATTTATCGTCAAGTGACAGAAGTTTACGGTGAATACGCGATAAGTGATGGAATGGTGAGAAAGTGGGTAAGAATGTTTAATGCAGGTCGAACAAATGTCCACGCCGAGGCTCGGAGTGGTCGGCCTTCTGTTGTCACCGATGATTTGGTAAGGAAAGTTGATGAAGCAATTCATGAGAACAGACGCTTCACAATGACAACTCTTTCAGAGGCATTTCCACAAATTTCACGTACTGTTTTGTTCGAAATTGTGTCTGACCGCTTGAATTATCGCAAACTGTGTTCCCGATGGGTTCCAAAAATGCTCACTGATGTTCACAAAACAAAGCGACTTGGTAGTGCCCTGACATTTCTCACGCGGTACAGTGATGAGGGAGAAAACTTTTTAAACCAAATTGTGACAGGTGATGAAACTTGGGTGTGTCATTTCACACCAGAATCGAAACAACAATCGATGGAGTGGAGACACACTCATTCTCCGAAAAAAAACAAAAGTTCAAAGTGACAATGTCATCACAAAAAATCATGTGCACTGTCTTCTGGGATAGGAAAGGCGTTTTGCTTACTGAATTTCTTCCCAGAGGTGAAACCATTAATGCGGCACGATATTGTGAGACTTTAACAAAACTAAGGCGTGCCATTCAAAACAAACGAAGAGGAATGCTCAGTAAAGGAATTGTGTTGCTCCATGACAATGCTCGGCCCCATACTGCTGGTGTCACTCAATCGTTAATTCGACAGTTTCATTGGGAGCAGTTCGATCACCCGCCGTACAGCCCGGACTTGGCGCCGTCCGACTATCACTTGTTTCCTGCACATGAAGCGCGAGCTTGGTGGCAAGCGCTTTGGATCTGACGATGACACGAAAAATGCTGTGGAGTCGTGGTTATCGAAACTGGCGGGAAGTTTCTTTGACGATGGTATACAAAAACTGGTCACCCGCTATGACAAGTGTTTGATCATTGGCGGAAACTATGTTGAAAAATAGTTTAAGACATGTATTTTCATGTAAAAATAAAATTGGATTCGAAAAAATTGTTTTTATTTTATTTTTTTTTTCAAAACGGTACTTAGTTTCCGAATACGCCTCGTGTTAAGACATTTATTTTTCATGTACAAATAAAATCTGAAGCCCATTCACTTTGTGGGTTAATGACCCGCTTTTGTTACCTTGAGTTGTCCACTTCTTGACCTGATTTCTTGTTCAAATGGTGAGGACACTTCACCGTTTCTTTGCCTCGGGCTTTAACTGACTTGATGTGGAACTTCCCTTTTTCATCTGTATGGATTCCCTGACTTTCGCCTCCTTTCTTTTGTTTGGGTTAACGACTGCGTTTTATCGGGCGTCTTTGCTTGTACTGCATTATCTTTACAAAAGATCTTTATATTACGCTCAGTCAACTTGACTGTTCGATTACCCAATAAGTAGTATTCCTGATTGAGGTCTTGCCTAATTACTACTGCTTTGGTGATTTACCTTCCCAAAATTCTCTCCATCGAGTTCGACTTGTGCAGGAGGCAACCGTTTTGTGGGAGTTTGTGGGTCCAAAGGTTGCTTGATCAAAGCAGTTTCCTTTAACAACATTTCCGATGTTGCATGATCCCTTCCTATTAAGTCAATAGTGGATCTAGTACCTCTAAACATTTTAATCTTTCGATCATTGATTTTCACAGAACTAATATATGGGTTAAAACAATATCCAAATTATTTATGATTTCAATGGATTCCATCATAGCTTTTAATTGCGGGCACTGATATCGGAGATGATTCTCTGAGTTACATTCATAGTATCTAGGTGCTCTCCATTTTTTGAAGACATTTGACTTACATTTCTCGGCAGTCTTTTCTTTTGCACCATCATCACCGTGACTCTTTTTTTATCTGCAGGTTCACCTTTCTTCCTTTCCTTAGAGTCCTGTTTGGTACTTTAACAAAACCTGTCGGTTTTTTTACGGACATAGGTACTTCTTCATATTCATCCAATTTCCTGACTAATTCAGCAGAAGTTATTATATTAGGCCTGTCATTCATGAAATGTTTGCGAATTTCGCCATTTATGCAATGGTTAATTTGATCTGTCAACATTAAGTCTTTCAGGGAATCAAAATCTCGCACTTCCATTCCGTTCAACCACTCATCCAGATAATTCCTCAGCTTGAAGGCAAAATCTTTATATCGAGTACCTGCACGCCACTAGTGCTGAACAAATTTAGCACAAAAAGCCTCTGGGCTCAACGTGAAACGTTGTAAAAGAATTTTCTTTAAGTAAGTGTAATTATCGAGCTCCTCTTCCGGTTCCCGTAGAATAATAAAAACAATGTCCATTGGTAATAAAGCCATCAAATGCGACACCCAGTCTCCTTCGTCTACATTCACTTTAGGAGCCTGACGCTCAAACATCGCTAAATAAAGAGAAATGTCCGATGATTCAGGATTATATCTCAGCATTAAATTTTGCAATTCTCTTATAGATCTCGGAATATTATTCTGGGAATTTTCTGTGACAGTGTTGGAGTTTGTCAAGCTCAGTAGTTCCAATTCAAACTCTCTCTCCCATTTGGCTTCTTCTAGCCTACGCTGTTCGATCCGAGCTTCTATAATGGACTCTAGCGTTGCCTTGACAAATTTTTCGTCATAATGAGGACTCTGTATAATGAGGTTTTTAAGATCTTGTATTTTTGCATTGGGGGAATTATCGTTCCCAAGATATGATATATTGCCAATTCCAAAATTTCAGATCGTACACAAAATAAAATAGTTTTGCAAAAGTAATAACTGCTTACTATCAAAATCTTTCACACTTTAAAATTAAATAACCCAAAATAACATTGAAATTTATGATATGCTTGACACAGATTACTTGCGATTAGCAAAATTTCAAAAAAGCAAAGCCAATTTAAAACAAATCATTTCATCTTACAATTTTAAATAAACTATTTCAGCTCAAAGAGGTAATAATGCTCAGTACAATAAGCTTCTAAAATACTTATTGACAAAAGCAAAACAGAACTTAATTTATAAATAACACATGCCTCTTAAATTTGAAAACTTGACATTAAAATTTGGTTTCTCAAAACCATTCAGGATTATGAGTGACCTATCAATTTAAACATATAAATTTGACACAGCAATTTGACATAATAAAATAAATATTGCTTCTAAAAGGTTAATGCCCAAATTGACTTACCCTGTTTTGCAGACAAGCAGACGCACATCGTTTTAATCAATTCAGAAGCACTTGATCTTAATTATGGCACTGTTTGTTTCCTTTTTTTATGTCACTAAAGAAAACTCACTTTTTTTCCACTTAGCAGGGAAATCACTATTCAGGACACAGCAAATTACTTCGTAGTAGGTGTCACATTTGGTGGTACTTCTTTTTGCAAACGCGTATTCAGAGATAAGATAGCTGAAACTTGCTATTGTCCACAAAAGAGGGAATTTTCTTCTGTTGTTTTGAAGGCGCCTTTTTTTTTTCACACAGTTTTACACACAGTCTTTGTTGTAGCTGACACTATGCGGCGAATGAGAAAGTCTCAATTACTTCTTCCTCCAGAACATCCAATTAGCTGCCACCATTTTTACACATATCTATTATAGCTGTGACGAATTCAAAAGGCTAGAGGTAGCATAAATAAATTTATTTGGGTTCTTTCTAGGCTGCATGCAAAAAAAATTAAAATAAAATAATTATAAATAAATAAATAAATAAATTCGTAACATATTGTTCTCACAGTAGGGGGGGGCAACTATGACAACCAGACATTGTGAATAAAGTTTCTGTTTAGAACTGATTCAGGATGAAATTTCTTGTTTGGAAATAGTTCAAGATGAGCCTGTTTAGAATTAATTGACTCTATTAAGTCAGTGGTTGCCGGACTGAGCTGGATGCTCTCCAGTAAGGTAGTGGCGAGCTCGGCTACCTCGCGGTAATCTCTTGGCAGGGATACTAATATTGCTCTACACAGAGCGAAATAAAATTTGCTCATTTCCAAGCTGAAAAACAGAGAAAAGATTTCTCTCTCTACTTACTGCAAGTCACTCTCACTTGCTCTCTTCCTTTCTGAAACTGCATTCCATGTTTTTGTTCAAATTGTCTTGGGCATGTCGGAAAAATTTCCAGGATCCTCATTTGTCCTAAATTTTTAGAAGCGTCTCTTGATTGGCGAGAGCACCTTGATTAAAAACTGGATATAATAAAGAGAGCCTGGGAAATCTTCGTGATAACTTTCTGGTTCCAACTAGGGACTGAAACCGGGTGGTCTGAGACAATGCTCCTATAAAACAGATTAAAGTGAACAGAACAATGAGCAACAAGAACTTGAGATTGTTTTATGACTGCTGGTCACTTCATCTTTCTGAGAGTTTGTTAAGAAATACTCTGTCCGTTGGAACTTTTGAGGTGTGTATACTTTCCCAGAACTTTGTGGTGGTTGATAAAATAGCTTAAGATGCTGCACAGCTCATGACAGTAATTTGATAATCTGCTATCACCAAAGGAAAACCTTATTTTAAAAGTAATTAAGTAAACTTTAAAACATGATTTGCATTTGAAATTGTGTATAACTCTTCTTTGTTCATTCTTTCGTAATTTACAAAATATCTCTTTCTTAATTTGACTGCATTAAATTTTTAATTTTTGCCCTAATTTATTTTAGGATTGACATGGCTCATGGTTTATCGAACAGAAAAGTACCAAAAGTTAAAAGCTGAAGTTGAGAGACAGAGTAAACGATGTGAGTTGAGAAATCTAAAGGAATATTTTTTTAATTCCATTTATTTTAAATATTTTACCTTTTATGTTTTTTTATATTATGGAATTAAACTGGATGGAGGTTTACTGTTAAAAGATTAATCTTACCAAATAATTTTGTCCTAAGAAATTTAAGCATTAATAGAGAACAATTGTTTTTATTTTATTAAATGATTAAATACTTATGTATTATTGCAACAACCATAGCAAAACTGCCAAATTTTCAAAATATGTCCATTTCTGGCAAACATGCAGATAATTATTTTTCACACAACCGTGGTCATAACAGTTCTTCAGTAACTGAGGTAATCTGTCTGCATAAATGCAGTATTTTACCTCAAAATTGCTAAAGAAAATAATGATGGGATGTATCTGGTAGAAAGCTAGTGTGCAATGCCATGTGTGCACAATTCTCTCTTTATTTTAAGCGGAACAGGTTGATATGTACATGGAGAGAACAGCGCAAATATATGTTGTTTCGATTCTGGTGTGAAATGACACACCCAAGTTTCATCACCTGTCACAATTTGGTTTTCTCCCTCGTCACTGTACCGCGTGAGGAATGTCAGGGCACTACCAATTCGCTTTGTTTTGTGAACATCAGTGAGCATTTTTGAAACCCATCGGGAACACAGTTTGCGATAATTCAAGCGGTCAGACACAATTTCGAACAAAACAGTATGTGAAATTTGTGGAAATGCCTCTGAAAGAGTTGTCATTGTGAAGCATCTGTTCTCATGAATTGCTTCATCAACTTTCCTTACCAAATCATCGGTGACAACAGAAGGCCGACCACTCCGAGCCTCGGCGTGGACATTTGTTCGACCTGCATTAAACATTCTTACCCACTTTCTCACCGTTCCATCAGTTATCGCGTATTCACCGTAAACTTCTGTCGCTTGACGATAAATTTCGGCCGGTTTACACTCCTCGCATTCAAAAATTTAATCAAGGCACGAATCTCACAGTCAGTGGGAGAACTAATTGTCTTAAACATTTTGAATGTGCACAGCAAACTGAAAACACAACATAGAGCAACCAAAATGGCGACAATTGAAAGTCAGTGAACAAGAAAGACTAGTGCGCATGCACAGGATGCCTACCACAGTGCTGCGATGGCGCTAGAATGAAACGGTACTTAGTTTCCAAATACTCTACGTATCATTACACAATAAAATAAGAAAAGAGTACGTGCTCATCCTCTCCATGTTGCTTGAAAACTGGATGAATGCAGAAATGTTGCGGTTTACATGACCTCTACAGCCATCTATTACAGAAAATGTGAATCTCTGGTTCCAGAGGAAAATTCCTGATATCGGGCGCTGGTAAATAATCTTCCGTATGCTGCTAGAAAACAAATTGCTTAGTGGTAAAATATTTACCACCGCCTGTAAAAGGGTTGAACCACTTGAACACAATTTGAGCCTTGTGACATAGGGTGTTGTCCTGCTGGAAGATTCCATTTAAAATTGGGAAGACAGACACCAAGTAAGGGTGCAAATTATCCACATTTATGTTGAAATAGTTTGCAACTTTTATGGTCTGTTCTACAAAAACTAAGGGTTTCAGAAACGCCCTTGAGGACATCTCCCAAAGCATAATACTACCAGCCTGTGTATGACCTGCTGTACAGGGGAGGAGCAACTGTTCACCTGGAAGATGGCATATCCTGACACAACCGTCAATGTGATGAATGAGACAGCATGATTCATCTGACCAGTTAACTGTCTTCCCACTTATCCATGGTCCAGTTTTGATGCTCCAAGGCCAACTGTAGTCATAGTTGGCTTGGTCAACAGAAGCATATGAATGAGACGTCTACTGCATAGTCCCATATCCAACAATGTCCATTGAACTGAGTGTTCCGAAACCCTTGCTCTTTGACCTGCATTGTATTGGGCTGTCTGCTGAGCCACTGTCTTTTGCCAGTTTTGTTGTACCTAGTGGGACAGTTTCTGACATCATTTTTTTTTTGATGATGCATGGACGTCCAACACCGTCTCATCTATTGCTGGTTCCTCTGTCACTTTGCATAGATACTAACAATGGCAAACTTTGAACAATCTACCAGTCATGCAAGATAAGTCTTTGGGCCATTATAAACTGCCCTCTATCAAATTCGCTTAAATCAGCAGCCTTTCCCATCACTCACAAAAGTAAGTGCAATAATGATTCCTTATCTTCTCCAACAGCAATTAAATACCATTTCCACTTAATCATCTGCCTTTCACATAATTTAGATGAGTTAATTGAAAAATTTGGGAATGGTCATAATGTTTTGCCTCGCCAGTGTATATCTAACTAACAAGAAAGAGTGATTATTTATGCCATACTATAGTTTGGCTAAATGGTAGCCTGCTGACCTGACGCAGTCCCTGACCCTGAATTTCCTGTGATTAGCAATATTTTTTAATTACTAAATGTGGTTTTTTAAACTGCTATACTTTTAACTATCATAAAGTGATCTTAGGATCATAAAGCGATCCTATATATAACTAAAAAACTCATTTTATCTGATTAGTTAATATCAAACTCCACTATGCAAATTAACAGAGTAACAGACAAAGTTATTCCATTTCTATGATTTAAATATTAGTGTATTACTTTAAGGTCAAGCACTGGAGATCAAAACAGCACAAATTACAAATACGAAGGTCAATGCATTATATTTTTTCTCTCTCAGATTAATTTTATTTAATTCACCTCATTGCCATCCTTTTTTTCCTTTTTTTTTGTACATCTCTAGTTTCTCAATAAGCATCATCCGGAGCTTCTTAAGATTTCCTTTTCTGAAGGTTCTTTCAGGCAGGAAAATGCAGTCCATATAGAGGTTTTTTTTTTTTTTTTTTTTTTTTTTTTTTTTTTTCATTTGAGGGAAAGATTGATGGCTGAAGGCTCCATGGTCAACAGTGGTATTCCTGCTGCCACTGCTGACTTGAGAGCTTACTTGCTATCATGCCTCAAGACATTATGTCCAACCAGTATCAAATTATCTACAATACAAAGTCTTTAATCCGGACTCGTTGGGACATCAGCGATTCCTGATTAGGGGTTTTCCGGATTATAGATCATCAATATAAATCTGGTAAGATGGCATGCAGAAATTATACAATAAAAATATGAAACCGTAATTTCTGAAATAAAGAGCAATTATGATCTAAAGGGTATCAAAATTTACAAAAAGAAAAAAAGCTTAATATTTATTTGTTTACTTTATTAAATGTTTCTTTCAATGCGCGCATGCGTAAAGCATACATTATGCATAGTCAAAATTAGAAAATTGCAACCAGAAAATTATTTAATGTGTATTCGGTATATTTATAATGATGAGGAAATTGATTTAAATCATATCGGAGTACATCGAGATGAAACACTACGTTTAGTAAGGAATTATAAGCCGAATAAAATAAAAACATCTGCCCTGAAGATGAGTATAGTGTTAACAGATCAACTTCCAGTTCATTGCGTGCCGTGACATCCCCCCCCCACACACAGAGCAGCGTGAAATTGATAGACAGTTTTTGGAATGGTTAGAGAAACAAAATCACCTCTCTGTCACTTTCTTCATGCCTTTATCCATTTTTTGCAGCAATTCCACTTTTTGTTTAATGGACATAGAAACATGCTTTCACATTGTGGATCCTTTGGCAGTTCCAGAATTAGAAACTCTTTTTTGACATAATCGAAAGTTCAAGCTTACTTTTATAAAATTGCTCTAACAGTCCGCAAAAAATAATAAGCCAGATCCAATTAGAAGATTAAGGAACAATGCAATCTGCAACATTAACTAAAATAGATAATTTTAGCCTAGCTTATACCATCTGTTATACATTAAACGCGCATGTTTAAACATATTATGTGCATGCGTAAACACATTATGCGTTTACGCATGCGCAGAAAGTTTGTACCTTTGAGGTCCGGATTATAGATCATTCCGGATTATGGACATCCGGATTAAGGACTTTATACTGTACTGCCTAGGTAACCACAATTTAAGCAGGGTCGGCTCAGTCAGGCATTTATTTCTGCATATTAGTAGAATTACATTAATAGTTTACTGGTACAGTTCCACATATTTTATGTGGAGCTGGAACCTATAGATGCTGGAATTTTACAAATCTTGAAAATATAATTTTACGGATATTTATAATAATGTTTGCAGTTCTAGAATTAAAAATTTGGAACAATGTCCATAGATTTGAATTTTGAATAGAATTCAGAATTGTATTATTAGGTGTTACAGTTATTAAAATGTTTTTCAGTAATTACAGAATTGTTTTTACAGTCTTTATATTTATATTCTTTGATGTTTTTAAACTTTTCAGTCTTCATAAGTTTTACAATTCATCAGAATTATCATTTATGTATTTAATTATCTGCATAGATCTTCATGATTGCCCGAGAGCTATTTGCATTATTTTCATTCATTACTTGTCAATGGTTTTGACAGATTTAGCCCTTGCTGTCATTTTTAACAGTCATGTAGATAGTCGCTGAAGTTGCCCTTGATACCAAAGTAGCACATGTCTATTTCTCTTTTTGTTGACATTTTTGTAGACAGTGACCTATGTATAGCTATGTGACATAGCTGCAGTTTTTCTTGATTTCTCTGGAGACCTATTAAAAGTATTTATATGTCAGTTGCACCTACATTGTGTTGTCCCAATTATCTTGCCATCTGATATGATCTGAGCATTGGTTTTGTTCTTGAGGAGGAGATTGTGTTTGGAATGTAGATATGATGGGTATTATTAACATCTACTTTTATGGCTTTTGCTAATTCAATCCATGAGCTCATTTCCTTCTGTTCTGATGTGGGCTTTGAATCATCTTAGGTTAATCTTTCCTCTGCTATGTACAATGAGATGATGGATGGATGTACAATTCTGTTTTTACTTTTGGTACCTGTTATTGCCAAAATGCTAGAGAAATTTTCTGAATTGATTTGATTTTGTTTTTAGTGTGTTAGTGCTTATTTAGCTGCTCATTTAGTGGCCATAAACTCTGACTGAATTGCAGAGTAGATAGACCATAATTTAGCATTCCACTTGTGTACCATCTGATTGTTTTGAGTAATAAGAATACATATATTGTGCCTGTTTCCGTTTTGGAACCATTTGTGGAGGTATTTATTAGATATGATGCTTCTCTCTTTATGGTGAGAATATTACTTCTTTCCATAGTCTTAGTATTCTAGTACTGATGACCTTTTCTTTGAGTTTTATGTAGATCAGCAAATTTCCAGCCAGGTTGAGCAATGCCAATGTTGGGCAGGTTCTATAACCTTTAGTTTCCAGTAGTGCCAATTTTCTATGGATTTTCAGGAGCTTCCTTTTTGTTATGCTAATTTTAAAGCTGTAAGCTGATTCTTAATGAGAAATTTTAGGACTGTGTGGTATACACTGGTGTGCAAAAATTAAGGACGAGACGGTTTTTTCAATATAACTTTGTGCAAAAGCTTTCCAAATCAACACATTTAATACCATAAGATCCCCAATACGTAAGGACATGAGTAATGTAAGCAACACTTACTAAAAGAGAAATCAGAGGGATAAAAAGAAGCTTTATTGAAAAAGTAGCAGGGAGCGCAATGCAACTGAAGGCCGAAACATCCCTGTGATGGGTGTCCAGCAAGAAACATCCGGTCTTTAATAGGGGATATGATCTCCCCTGACTGCTAGGCAGGTTTCACAGCGTCTGCCCATGCTGAGAATGAGGGTGTCAATGGGTTGTTGAGACATTGCTGCCCATTCGTCTTGCAGCGCCAATCGAAGCTCCGGAATCGTTACTGGTGGTAAGGTACAAGCTGCCAAGCGTCTGCCTAGAAAATCCCATACATGTTCGATGCAATTGAGATCCGGAGATCGTGCCGGCCAATCCATACGTTCAATATCCTCACTCTCTAAGAGCTGTTCGGCAGCTACTGTGCGATGACATGGTGCATTGTCGTCCATGAAAAGGAACTGCGGACCCATAGTGCCTCTAAAAAGACACACATATGGAAGAAGAATCTCGTTACAATAAGGAGTCCCGTTGACTGAACCTGCGTCGAAGATGTAAAGCTCTATACGACTACCAAGCATGATGCCTCCCCAAACGAGAACACCGCCACCTCGATACCTGTCCCTTTCAATGATGTTCGAGGGATGATCGCGGCTTCCCCGTTCTCTCCAGATGAGTATGCGATGAAAATCGCTACTCATACTGAATCTGCTCTCATCTGTAAAGAGTACTCGTTCCCATTCATTGTCTCTCCAATTCCGGTGTTCCCGGCACCACAGAGAACGCCTTCTCCGATGGGCAGGCGTTAGAGGTACACACCGTACAGGGCGTCGTGCAAACAGACCACCACCGTGCAGTCTTCTGGCCACGGTTAAAACGCGATATCGGTCGTCCAGTCGCCTGTGTCGTGTGTCTAGCGATTTCTCCCGCTGTCTGCCGCCTGTTTTTCTGGCCTGTAAGGCAATATACCGGTCATATCTGCGGGTGTGGTTCCTCGTGGACGACCACTACTAAACCCCCGGATAGCTGTTCCTGTAGTTCGAAATTTTCTCCAAAGTCGTGAAACGATGCTGTGAGCAATTCCGAACTCTGCAGCCACACTTGTCACACTGCGGCCTTCCTCCAACTTCCCAATGATTCGACCTCGGGTAAAAGCATACAGATGTCATCTAACTGATTGATTATTCGCCATTTCTCGCTGAGGCAGCAACTCGGTGTGATTTTAACTGCTATACGGCATGCAATCTCTTTACCAGAAATACTGATCTTACACCGACAACATGCTTTATACTACTCAGACACTCCCCCATTACGTCTACCTGCATATCTGCGCATGTGCTACCGTACATCACCTTACTTAATCTCCTGATTGGTCTTTCTGTCCGCTCTGCCTCTTCGTTCAGCTGATATGCTAATTTTTCGACTTCATCCTTAATTTTTGCACACCAGTGTAATTTTGTGTATATGTGTGTGCATTTGTTTTGGTAAATGTGAGGGAGGTGGGAAGAAAAAGGCGTGGGTACTTAAATCTTTTTTTCAATAAAGTGTGTTTGTATATTTAGTGCATGATAAAACTTAATTTCTTAAAAAATGAAGTTATTGTGGTCCAACAAAACTTTTAAAGAGTTGTGTAGCTGGATGGGATGCCTTTGTAAAAGATGTTTTATGAAAATTAGTACATATTTAAGTTGCATATGGGAAAAACTATCAAAATTTGATCTAACAAGCTAGCTTATTAAAATGTCAAGGATTCAAATGGGGTATGAACTACAAGTATTCTGTAGGTTTAACATTTGACCGTAAGTTGACTTTCAAGAAAAATTTATTGTTGGGAAATGCATGAAATATTTTTATTTTGAAGTAATAAATGAGTGCAAAATTTGCAAATTAAAAAAGAAAAGTCCTTGTATTAAACTTTATTTTGTTATATCAAATATGTGTTAGATTTTATTTTTGTAAATTAGTTTTTAAGTGAGTTATTGTTATATGTATGCTTTTTTAACACTTTTGTACATGTTCTTAAACGACAGTGGAAAAGAAAAAGGAAGTTCATGGTGATACTGTTGACCGACAACAAAAGAAAAAAATTGGTACGTAATTATTTTAATAAAATTTTTTAACTTTATCAAGAATTGTAATGTTTTAATAGTTAAAAAATTTTTTTTTGAAAATATTTAGGCAGGTAATTGTATATGTGTTTCACTTTTGTTAAAAATTATGTTTTTTTTATGCTGTTTGCTTGTAATTAATGTACATTTTGAAATTTTAGAGTATTAAATTAAATACCTCAGATACTATCAAATGTCTCCTGTAAGACCTTCGGAAGTACCAGATCTCCTTTTACATCATGTAAACAAGCTAACTATTAAATTGTTATGGTGCTTCATGATTATCCACACATGTTTCTCCAAAAATCGCTGACTGTTGGAAACTACACCATTTTCAAAAATGGCATTTCACTTAGAATTGCGTAAAATTGCAATCAATTAACAAAATAATGCAAGAAACATCCATAATAAAACACGTTTTTCCCCATTCCTCCCATATACACAGCAATCTGTTTAAACTAAAAAAGAAATCAGAGAATTGCTGAAACTTGACGTAATGTACAGAGCTTTGCTTTGCCCACACTAGCAGTTCTACCCATATACATAGCAATCTGTTTTCACTTAAAAAAGAATTCAGAATTACTGAATTTGGCATTTCTTTAGATGTAAAAAAAAAGAATCAGAGAAAGTTAAAAATTCAGCATTGATGCGCAAATTTTGATCCATTAAAATTCAATAATTTATGAAGTGCAACCTCAGAGAAGGGAAATTTTTGCATTCTTTTCATAAAATACCATTTTTTCTGAAGAAATGGAACGCTTTGTTTTCCATCATCAGTATACTCCACAGTGCCATTAAGATTACTCACAAGGAAGAAAAGTGCATTCGGCACAATAAAAACAAACACTAATGTCTGTCAAATTTAATTGTGGAAATGAGGCTTTCAGTGGAAATTAGCACTCATCTGCAGTGCGCATATCTGGTTTATTATATAATTGCACTTTGATAACGTCATGGGTTACCTGTTTTGGTAACACAGTGTCCTGTGAATATCTTTCAGACAGGGTGTGCATAATCAGAGAGTACAGTTTTTGCAATAAGTAACTACAGTCAAATACGGAAAATGCGACGACCTGAAATCTGCCAACTCCTGAAATCCACGTTGCATCTCAAAATATAAACTTTCAGTTTATAGATTCCGGAAACCGCAACATCGAGTATGAAATATCGAAGAAAAAATACTTACCGAATAATGATGTCATAATTAACAAATAATAATGAGTCATAACAGAAATACCAAATTATTGACATAATGGTAAAAGTTTTTTTCCCCTCTAATCTGCATTGAGGTAAAAAAGCAGACGATTCACTCAAATCTTCTTTCAAGTTCACGATTCACGTTGTATTTTCTGAGCTTTGTTATTTCATGAGATTATTTAGTGCTGCCTTTTTTTATCCGTATATTTTGTGGATAAATTAAGAATATTTTAAATTTCAGCCCTTTTTAATACATTTACAGATAAGAAACGCACTCATGATTTTACTGCTTGCAACGTTGAAAAACATAAACACGTTGCATTGACTGGTGATGCAAAAAGTGCAAATTCTGCAAAAGATGGAGACAGGTGCTACTCCTCGGCTTATAGCAGAATCGTATGGAATTGCGATACGATTGTGTATAGTATATGGAAAAATAAAGAAAAGCTGTTGAAATTTTACAGTAACAGTGATTCTAACACCGGAATCCGAAATCGGAAATCTTTGCATGAGGCGAAATCGGCAAACCTCGATGCTGTGTATATATAATACGATACGATTGTGTATAATATATGGGAAAATAAAGAAAAGCTGTTGAAATTTTACAGTAACAGTGATTCTAACACTGGAATCCGAAATCGGAAATCTTTGCATGAGGCGAAATCGGCAAACCTCGATGCTGTGTATATATAATACAATTAATAATATAATCAATTTATATATGTAATAATAATTTAATGAATATAATAAGTTATTGCAATAATGTATATAACAATTTAATTAAATGTGTTTAATACGCCTTATTTATTTTGCTCTTTTAGTCTCAATATTATGATTTATCTTTTCTGTCCTGAAATCCGCACAACCTCTGGTCCCAAGCTTTGCAGATTTCTGGACTTCTACTGTATTTCTACTTTTTAATAGAAAAATGCATTAAAGTTTCACATCATATGCAGTTTTATGTGCTGTACTGATAATTGTACTTTCTGATTATCTATACCTCCCCCTCTAAAAAGCTGTGAAAAGTAACTGGTAAGGCAATATACCATATATTTCCAAAAAGTATATGAGATAAACCACAATGTCACCACAATTATTTATCGGGCAATGCTGGTATGGGCATAACACCCCCCAGATGGTTTCCACTTATGAAGACATTTTTGCTTGAGTGATTACAAATTATGATACTTCCTATGAGATTTCAATATTTTAGTGTAACTTTACTGCAGATTTCATCATCATCAGCAAAATCTTAAACTTAGCTTTCCACATGTATAAAGCATGATGTGATTTACTTAAAAATATTGTGCATTTCTTTTTTATATCTCATTTAAGATTTGGGTGTCAAGGTAGTTCAATTCCTTGATTTTTTTAAAACCGAATGTTATGTACATGGGGGGGGGAACTGTAAAACAAAACCTGAGAAGTATGTGTGCATGTCTTGTATGGGGAAAAAAAGAACATAAAATAATTGCAGACACTGATTGCATTGTTGAAATAGATGTAAAGATAGCTAAATAAACATTTCTCCTTAAGGTCACCAACCAGTGAGCTCAGAAATGCTCTCCAAAGTCAGCAACATGTTTGACTTCTTTTTCAATGATAACAAGAGGTACCATTTACTACTTCTTTCAGAGTCATGCAGATTTTGGATTTAACTGAATCTATTCGTCTTTGTGATAGTCTGAAAATTTGCCATTTGTTTGGTTTCAATAAAATTAAATAACTCGATGCACCTGAGAAGCCATTTTTCTTGTCTCATGAAATTAATTTAGCTATTCATTTCCAATTCATACTGAACCAAAATTTTATTTTGGAAATTATTAATTTTCAACTGATGTGTTACTTTTACTGGGGCACTTAAAATTCTGTCAAGCTAGACATCCTCTCAAAAGGTTGGTGCCTAGTGGATGAGATGACTTTGTGAATAACTTAAAGGAAAACTAGCTCATATACATGTTACAATGGGAAAACAAACAGTGAGCCATTCACCAGGTTTTGAACCTAAGATAGACTACTAATATTCAGTAGGCATTAGTTGCTTGACCGCTGGTGGTGAGAAACAAATTTAAAATATTATGCAGTTACCCATTTAGTTGAAATATTCAATAAAATTTTAAAACATAGATAATGTTTTTAAAAGTTAGTGTCTTCATAGTATTGCTGATGCATGTATTTCTTTCAGAAAGAGAAGAGGAAAAATTGAAAAATAACAACAGAGATTTATCATTGGTAAGCTCTGAATTTTCTAAATTTCTGTTCCTGCGGTATTTTTTTTTTTTTTTTTTTGTTGTTATATTAAATGTCTTTTTATGAGGTATTTACTTTTACAACTGTGAGTCATAGACAGACACTTCCAGATGCAAATATTCATGTTTTTTCATTTCTTAATTTAAAATATCGATTTTTTAAAAATACAAAATCTTATTTTTTATTCAGGTCCTTACTACCTATAATTATGTTTTGCAAATGTTTATACTTCTTTTAAAAAATAAAAGAGGAAAAGTTGGAAATTGACAGAGATATTTAATTTCAAAACTTAGAAATTTTGTCATCTATTTTAGCTTTCCTTGAGGGGCCAGTTAAAAATTAAATTCAAGGCATTTTTTTTTTACCCTGTAATGTCATTCAATGATATTTCTTTGTAATTTTACAGGATATAATATTCTTTAATATATAATTTTATTATGACAATTATGCCAAAAGTATTTTTACACAAGTAGTTTATAAGTTTTTAAATGTTCAAAAATGTTTTAATAATATTCACATGCAGATTTATTGCTGTACAATCATAATCTGATTGTAATATGAAAAAAATAGAATACACATTTTATTCATTTTTAATTTATGCCGATAATGCTAGTAATTGGCTGTATGGTAATAATGAACCCTGCCAATGTTTTCTAAAATGCAGAGTTCTGTAAGATTTTTCCTTTTGAAAAAAGAAACTGTATTCATCTTGTTTCATGACAATCTGCGTAGCAATGCTTATCACTTAATTCAATGGTCTGAAAGTTAAATTGCGTGTGGGCTGAATGCACAAACTAAAAACAGTTGATTGGCCAGAATTCCCTCCCCCTTCCTGTTACAAAATGAAAAATTTTGTTAACAAAATAAAAAATATTTAAATGTTTTAAATTTAATTTATTAAATATTTATTAAAATGTGCATAAACAATACAATAATAATATACACAAGAAAAAAAAATTATTTTCTTAAACTAAATATAAAGTTTGGTAACTGTAAAATTATTTTTGTTGGTTAATTTTCTGATTCAAATATATTGACAGCTAAATATTAAATTCTTAGACTGGCATTTCTTTGAGATAATTAAAACATGTTTAATTAATCATTAAATAATTTAATTTAAACTAAAATTAATTAAGAAAACTTTCTAAGTTTTTAGAGAAAATTTGCGAAGTGGGATGAAACATGAGAATAAATTACAGTAACATAATCTCTTTCCCTTATTTATTAAATTCTTCTTCAGTGCATAAATAAAAATTCATATCTTTGTAATTAATTATAAACTTATTTATTTCTTACTAGAGCTTGACACTTGATAGTGTTTCGATTCTGATAAGGTTTGTAGCCTTGGAATCCACCAGTTGGGGGTCTTTTCTTATTAACTTTCAGCAGTGAAAAATAAATACACTGCTAGCCATTAAAATTGCAACACCATGAAGGGAAAAAATACAAAAAAGATATTTATTTCATCTAAACAGTATGGCATTAAGACAAAACAATTAAATTCGTAAGCATTTTAATGGTTTACAGGTAAGCATTTTAGTGGTTACAGGTTAAAATTAATAGAAATAGCTGCCACCCCTGGCAGCTAAAACAGCCCTTACCCCAATAGGCATGGAGTCAAACTGGGCTTGGATGATAGAAATTGGCGACTCATTCCATATTGTTTCAAGTCTATGCCACACGTCATAAACTGTATTAGTTGGAGAGGGTTGGTGGACCAGTCTCAGCAACCTTTGGCCAAATGTTTACAATGGGTGATAGATCTGGAGACCATGCAGGCCAGGGCAGCAGTCAAATTCCGTGTATATCGAGGAAGGTCAGAACATGATGTGTAACATGTGTTCTTGCATTTTCTTGTTGGAACATGCCATTTGGGGGCTTTGAGGATAGGGCACAACCACCGGACATAAGATGTCGGAAACAAACCCATCTGCGTTCAAATTACCGTTGATCTGAACTATACATATGCGTATTGTGTACCCAATGGCTGCCCAAACCATCACACTGGGTGCAGGGCCCCTATGCTGATATTGAATGTAAGCAGGCAACGTGCGGTCTCTTCGGACATTTCAGAAACGTATACGGCCATCAGAATACTGCAAGTAGAACCGGGACTCGTTTGAAAAGCTGACATTGTGCCACTTCTGTTTTTACTCCTGTACTCTCATGTACCAAAGAGTCGCCATCTCTCTCTATGCTGCATTGTCAAAGGAGGCCGAAGTGATGTCCATGCTGCTGCAAACCCTGCTGATAGTCCACGCTGCTGCAAATGTCGACGCGCCTTACGAGCTGATACTGGGCATGTCAAACATGCCCATTTCCTGAATAATGATCAATGATGTGGTTGTACGCTTTTGCTGATCTGATCTCACAGTATGTCTATACTCTCTGGTGTTGGTCATGGGAGTGCGTTGAAATTCTGCATGCCGTTCAGTATGACCCTCAGCAATCCATTGATTCCATATTCACATGAAAGTGGTTGGATGTCCACCAATGGGACATTCGGTATCAGGGAACGATAATCTACACTTTCAATATACAACGATCCTGCCTCTATCTAATTTCAAAATTTCCTGATAAGCATTTTCTCTTCTTATTCAAGGCATAACATGGTATTTTGAGCAAACTCCAACCTTTTTTTGAATGAGAAATTCACTACACAACTTTTCTTTTATGCAGTGCTTCAGATGTTGATTCTCCGTCCTGCGTCATCTAAATGTGCTGCAATACTAGTCATTTTCATATCTCAACTTCTTCCTTTCATTTGATTTTGATGTTCGTCAGATTATTCTTTTCTGGTGCAATTTTAATGGCCAGAAATGTAAATATATAAAATAAATATGAAATAAATGTGTGAATAAATATGTATCCAAACAATGTAATTATTCTTAATGCAAAAGTTCATTTATTTTTTTGACAAATATGAATAAAAGTTAGTTAAATATGTGTATTCAGATCTTTGAATAAGAATTATATCACATTGTAAGTTAATTAGCTCTAGATTTTCTGGTATGTTGTTCATGTTCATTTTTAATGATGAAAATGAAAATAATATAAACTTAGGCTTCAAATAACTTAAACCTTGAAATCATTCCATCACCATATTTGCAGCAAATATATATCTGAAATGCCTTTGTGAAGTGCAAAAAATTGCTTCAAAGGCCACATGTGCCCCACGGGCTGCCACTTTGAGACCGCTGACTTAATCTATTAGTACTGGGTACTCTTTTTCTAATCTAAAGTTTCATTTTTAATTGTTTAGAAATTGAAATATTTCAATCTTTAATTTGAGCATGGCCCCTGAATGTGGTCTGAAACGTCAAAATTAAATATGAGTTTCACTTGAGTAAACTTTTTTGTATTTTAATTTTAGAATGAGTATAGGTATTTCCTAAATGTAACTGTAGAGATTGGGGAAACATATAAAAATTTTGTAATTTTTGCAAAACTTTTCTTAATTAAAAAATAACATGAATATTTTGCATATTTGAAAGATTTTTATAATTATAAGTATGATCAATAATTGTTAGAATAAAGCTTGCATAAGGACTTTAACATACATGTTGCATATTGTATCTTGCATTTAGAAGATTATAATAAGGCAGTTAAATGTCATATTATTTGGAGTTGTATGAAATTTTATTGCAGATAACTTCATTATGTTTGCATTATGCAATTTAAATACATTATTGTGAAATTTCATGCATTGTTACTATTTCAACTATTATTTTACTATATTTGCTGTAGAATAATCAAGTGAAACTGCAAATTGTAGCATTTACAAATTTTGCAAACTGTTTAAGAAAAACGAGCTTAAAGTATTAAAATAGTTCTGCTAATATATAATTTTCATATTCATTTTCAAAATGTTAAAAATGCAATAATGTCAAAAACTTTTCAAATTAAAAAAGATAACTATGTTGTAACCCTTTAATCTTTAATATTGTTGCAAGTAGTATTTTAAGAACAGTTGAAACTTGGAAAATGTAAGTTTACATTTTCTCATTCATCAATTGATTATGGTATAAATTTTTTAAAATTTTTTTATACATATACTACATGCTTTCACTGAAACATTTATTATTAAAAAAAGAAAAAAGTATATGATGACTTCAGTTAGTCCAACTAATGTAATATTAGGGGTCCAGCTAGTAGTTAGCAGTAACAGAGATAAAGAACTGTATTTATCACTCTTAAATTGCTTTGTTTGTTAAACAATGACATACAGATTAAATCTGAAATAAAATTTATCTTTCACTTTGCTGAACAATAACACACTGGGATGCAGTAGATCAAAAATTTTATTTTGGACGGTAGCAACACATTGCTGTGTGTGTGTTGATTAAATTTGAAAGACAAAATATCATATGCTTTGCTGAGTGGGTTCGCATTACTTTTAAGTCACTGAGTTTGTGTATCAGAAATTTGTTTAATTCACATAAAATATCAAATAAATAAAATATAACTCAAGTTTTGTGTGGTCCATTGTTGGTTCTTACAAGCTATGGCTCAGTGTTACTTAAAACAATCAGCTTTATTAACACAGACTTATTTGTTAAAAAGTAGAAGCTACTACATGATGTTCCTACTTCACAGAGAGGATGGTCATCAGCTGACTGTGAGCACAGCTATTGCAAAACAACGTGACCTCAACTAGTGACACCTGCACCTAAGCGTAAAATAACCACTGAGTATCCCCAAGTAACAAAAGGAGTTGTTACTGGGAAAACAAAACAGAAAGAAAAAGAAACTAAAGGGATTGATTACATGAAGTTCCAAAATACCAGTAAAAGATATACACGTAAGAGCATTAAAATACACATTGAAATGTATGTATAAAATAAAATTCAAGATTATACAAGTAATAATATGAAATACCGGTTGAAATATTTATGATACATTGCATGTTACAGTGAAATGAAAAAGAACGGAAAGTTAATAAAATAAGAATTTTAAATCATTCTCAAGTGTATGCAAAATAAATAAATAAATAAAATAAAGTGTTCATGTACTATAACTTTTATAACCAGTAAACAAGAGAAAAATATTCAGTTATATTACAGTGATCAATCTTTCTGAAAGATGAATGGACATCATGAGATCCTGTGTAAGGTGGAGTTAGAGGAGGTTTAACAAAATCGATTCTTAGAAATAAATGTGAACAAGTCTGGAGTGCTAGGTGTGCATAAATTGATGGCTGAACATGTTTTAAAGTTTGGAATTGGTTTGAGTGAATGTGTGACTGATCGAAGTTGTGAAACATAAGATTTAAAAGGAGGTATGGAATTAGTAACATTTAGCATATCTGAGGGTAATCTAAGTATGGTACTGTAGATAAGTTCAACACATGTTGCATTTATATCATTTTTAATGGCAGCTCTTGTACCCAGCAAAACTGTTGGCAGAATTTCAGTCTATTTTGGATTGTTATGAGTCATTATTGCACTTTTAATCAGCCACTGGACTGAGGATGATAAGCAGCAGTTCAAATGTGTGTACCCAAAACCTTCATCAAATGCTTAAATAAGTGAAATTCAAAATTTGAACCATGATCAGTTGTTACTAATACTGAGCAGCCAAATCTAGGTATCCATTTGTATACTAATAGCTTTCCAAGTGGTCTGAGCAGATCTGTTAGCAGTAAGTATAACTTCCAGCCATCTGATGAAGTGAACAATAACTATCATGCAATAACTCAGAGCTGTAGCTAGGATTTTCAGCACCTGGGGACAATTGAAAATTTTGTTCCCCATCTTGTTTACCAAAAAGGGGAAACATTTCATTTTAAAAATTTACAACATCACTCCCCCCCCTGGATGAGTGTGCCCGGGAGCAGATGTCCCCCCTTGCCCACTTCTAGCCACGCCCTTGCAATAACTGTTACCTTCAGATGGTGGAAGAGGATCTGTGAAATCAATATGAATATGTTCGAATCTTGCATCAGGCAAGAAAAAAATGCACAAAGGTGATTTTGAATGCCTTTGAATTTTAGAGCGTTTGCATTATAGGCAAAATCAAATGGCAGTTTTAACAAATTTCTTCATATTAGGCCAAAAATATCAATTAGGATTTTTGTTGTTGTTGAGGCTGAAACACCGGCATGAGAAAGAAGTGAGTCTGCTGAAAAATTTTAAGGCAAAAAGATTTAGGTATGAACAGACAAAGTGTATCTATATCCAAATTGTAGTGAAGAGTAACATCATCTAAATGAAAATAATATTTTTCTATTTTAGCTGGCAAAGTTGAGAGAGAGAATTTTGCAGTCCTGAAGTTGCACTTCAGATAACTTTTTATAATCAATATATGTTGATTATCAGAAACTGCATCTGTTTCTACTTTAGATAAAGCATCAGCAATGATGTTGTCATAATCTTTGATGGATCGTATATCAGTGAAAATGTGGCCAATAAAATCGAGATGTGAAAGTTGTCATAGAGAACATTCTCAGGCTTTTGTCTAAAAGCATATATTAGGGGCTTTTGGTCTGTATAGATTGTAAAAGCCGTGCCTTTGAGCATATGCCAAAATTTTTTGAATGACAAGTATATAGCAGCTGTTCTCGATCATAGTTGACCATTTCCTTTGGCTTTTCCTGAGTTAAATGGGTAGAAACAAAAAGGGTTCCCAAACTGAATTGCACATTTTTATTAATGAGCTATTAACCACAATGTCTGATGCATTACTGCAGAGTTTTAAAAGTAGGACCAGGAACTGGAGGTCTGAGAAGGATAGCCTTGGCAATTGCTTTTTTCTCATTGATGAATGCTTTTTCAGCTTTAAACATTTAGCAGCTGAAGTAAATAAAGTATGTCAAATACCATACCATGGTGCATTAATGAAACCAAAGTATATTTTAGCCATGGACATCAGGAAATAATTTTCTGTAAGGAAATATTGTGCTTGAGTTTGTACATGGAATTAAATTTTTTGCTTATGTAATCAATTATATTTTGCACCTTTCATTATTGTTCTGAAAAAACTTTCAGTTCTTCTTTGTCACAAGAGTATCTGAGACTGAATCTTTAATCAACCGAGGTATCTCACCACAATCTGGCTATGTGTTCTTACATCTTGCCATGTAATTGTATATTAGCACCAACTGCGTGCTCCTATAACTTGCCACATAATCATGTATTAGCACCTCGTTACATGTTCGCACCCACTGTGCATTCTTATATTATTATTCATTTTTGAAGAGGTTTTTCAAGTTTGCATTATTTATTTTAAAATCTTTTTTTTTTTTTTTTTTTTTTTTTTTTTTTTTTTTTTTTTTTTTCCACGTGTGTATGGGTGGGAATATGACGCTAACAATCTTTAATTTACCAAGTAATGAGATGGATGCATATCATTTTTTCAAGAAAGAGGTCTTTTATCTGATAAACAAGTGTGCAAGATTTGATGCAACATGAAATTTTTATGTTAACGACAAAACCATTTGAAGGCCCAATGTTAAAAACTGCAAAAAGAAGAAGGACCCCACTGTTGAAAATTGGTTCACCGCTTCCAGCATATTGTTCATCACTGCTTTGATTTATGTATTCTTATGCAGAGGGATTCACATCCATGAAATGGTTTAACAGACAGCTTAATATGTGTCAAAGTACTGCAGTTGATTGGAAAAATTCCACTTGATAAAATAATGATAAGGATAAAGATTCTTAAAAATATTCGTAGGAAATTACCTGTGAGTATTATTGTTATTATTACATATTGTGTTGTTTATTATTACATTTGCACTTCACGAGCTTAGTGAAACTGAAGCTGAGATCTTGGCACAAATCTTAAACCATTAGGTATGGTTCGAGACCACTGTAACAAAGAAGTGCCAAACTTCCAATATGCTTTCAAAATTTTCTGGAAATTTTTGTACACTATTCATTTACACAAAAGTTTCATTTTATTTAAATATAATTTTTTGTTCAGTCTACACTCATATCAACTTTTCACATAAATCATTACAAGATACTCTCTGTATCACATTCAACTTCTGTAATACACCAAACCCGACTGTTCTTTGGATGTATCTTTATATTTGCTAAAACTGTCTTTGATTTACTGCTTCATTTTACAGCGAATATGGAGTAATTTGAAAAATACTGGTCAGGAGGATCAACACTTTCTATATATTAATTATTGGCATTAATCTTGTATTTGTTATTGGCCTAATTTTTTGTATTTTTCAAGTATAATAGCATTCTTTAGTTTAAGGAGAACAGCTTCTTTATTGAGAAGGCTAAAATAATGTCTCTTGAGCAGAGATATTAGTACAAAAAAACAAGAAAATTATCTTACATTAATTTTTTTTATTAATTTTTGTCTTTTTCCAAATTAATGCGATTAAAACATTTTAAAACTGCACATTATCCTCTGATCTTATATCTTTTTTAAAGAAGTATGTATGCATAAAAAGGCATACATACTTCTTTAAAAAAATTCAGCCAAGTAACTAAAAATTCTGTCTTTATTATCTGTATTAGAAAATAATAATATTATTATTATTTTTAAGGTAAAAATGAAGTCAATGTTTGCCATAGGTTTTGCATTCACAGCTTTACTTAGTATGTTTAATTCCATGTGAGTATGTTTAATTTTTTGTATTATTATTTACAATGTCGTTTCTAAATTTATGATAATTAACCATTTCTGTGTTTTTTCTGTGTTTACTGTGGGTCCCTTTTTACTTTCTGTATGATTTACAAGGCTTCACTATGAAATCTTTCATAAGTGGTGTAAAATAATGAAACAACATCATTATTTTTTAGGGAAAAGATTTAAACACGCAAAACATACAAAGTAACTCTTAAGAAAATAAAATAATGGTGAAAAAAATGATATGCAAAATGTAAATTTATATAAATAGAAATAATAATATATTGTTACGTTATTTTCTTCCTTCACATTCGTGCTTATTTGGAATAACGACAACAGCACTTGATGGAATATTGAAACACACTTTATTTACCAATATTAATCAGGACAGCTCCAGAGTCATGTTTTACAGTCGTCAAAGATCTAGTATAAACTCGCTGGAACAATCAGTGACACAGCCTTCAGGTTATCAGGCTATAATGCTAGAGACAGCTTCACTGCAAAACAAAAGAGTGCATCTTCCGACTCTGCTTGGTCATTCTCGTAACTCCACGTACTTTCGAGACTCTCCACACTATAACTCGCGATGCACTCGACGACAAACAGAGCACAGCTCCCGACTCTTCGATTCAGTTGTTCCCGGAGCTCAACACTTTCTCTTGACGATGCTCTAACCGTGATATACTGAGAGACTCTTTCGTTGCATTCGACAACCCACTCGCTGCTTGGCTGCCAACTTGATGGACTCTCTAACTCTGCACAGACTGACTCACTAGACGAGATACACTAACTATCTCACACTCTCTCTCTGCGTACCAGCAGGGTTTATATAGCTTTTGACTTGTGTTCAAGAACATTCTGGGCTAAAATAGTAAGAATTCATTCCACAAGGTTTTCTATCCGTCCATGGCATATCGGCAATTTTGTCGCCAAATGTAGCAACCCTGCTTTCCCTTGCCATTTTATGGCAATCCTGAAACTGTTTTGTGAGGAAGCTATCTTACCACGTCTGTTCATTTTGTAATAATGTGTATAGCATAATTTTTTCTTTTAAGATTGAGGAGACTCTCATTTTTCTATCTGTTAGTTGGTTACTTTATAAGTTCAGTTTCTGTTGAATTATAGAATATTGTGTACCTAACGGACAGAAAAGTTGTGATATTTATAGATAATCATTACCTCTGCATTTTGAAAGCTGAAGTTTATTATTTCCTCAGGCTCTATTTGGAAAGCTTGAAATATGAAAAAATGAATTTACTTTTCATATTGTGCAATTATAAGTAAAAAAAAAATTATGGTCAAAACATTTTGTGAAATTAACTTAAACCTGTGTGCTTTATTATTATTAAAGTCGTACAATACTGAAGCCATTGCATTAAACAAAATACTGAGCAATATTTTTGCTTTTCACATTTTTCTACCCAAAAGTGAAATTGTTTTGGCTTCTGTGAGTCCCCCCCACCCAAAAAAAAAAAAAGAAGATTAGTTTAGATTTTGTATAAAATGATGTGATGTAAAGCTAACTTTCATAAAGTGGGGGATATGTGTTATGCTACTATGCTTTCATTATTTCTAGCATTCTTGATAATGTTTGATATTTTTGATGTTCTGAGATCTTGCATGCTGTAACTAGTATCACACATATTTTCATATTTTATATTCTGCATTTTTTATGAGATTTCAAATTATGCCTTTTACTAAAATAAACAAAAAAGTGCATTTTGATGAGTTAATCAAATACTTTTGTTTGATAACATTATATGAATTAATTCATATTTGGGAAGGGAATGCACTGTTGGGTTGCATATTGAGTTAAGGAGTTAGCAATACAACATATGGTAGTTGTCAAAACCTTTTTATGATTGTTCTGTACATGTATTCATTTAGTACTGAAAGTTAAATTATAATAATTTACTTTCTTGGTTAAGCTTATTTGATCATATCTGAGGATTCAAGAATGAACTTACCAACTTTTTGAATGGTTTGTTGAAACATAGGGTATCTCAAAACTCCATTTGAAGGGAGTTAGAGAACTTGGGTATGAATTCTGTTCCCACAGGAAAGCTTGACCAACTATGAAAGCTTGACCACAGCCATAATAGAGATACAAATTCACAGCAAGAACACAAAATGAAAAACAAAGATATTCAATAGGCAAAACTTAAGGGTACAACAGTACAGAATGCAGTTTCATAAGAAATGTTCATAGTTCAACGTTTCACGGTAATACCTGCCTGATACCAATGGCACGTGGATTGCTAAACATTTTCAAAGATATCTATAGTTTTGTAGATAGTAGCAGCAGTTCATCCATTATAGACAGTTGTACCTTTAAGCCAATTCTGCCAATTTTAAGTCTGCGAATTCAGCATTTGTAAAATGATGCATGTTCTCCAAAAGACAGTTCAAGTTTTAATTAGGATCTCTGAGTTGCAAACCCAGAGTGCTGATGTATATCACCAAAAATCCATTTCTTGCTTGTTTTCGTATGCGAATGTGGTTTGTATCATTGTTCTAACTTTTTTGTAATTTAATACAGGGAATTTTGAGTGCATTAGTAACAAATTCCAAAGTATTTTCTGTTATTCTAAAATTACCTCCTTCAAAAGCTTTGTAAAAACATACACTTATTAGGTTATAATTTTGCCTTTGAAGATGGATCTGGAGTAAAGTCATGAATTGGATGAGGTAATTGACTTAGAAAAAGCACATGAAAGGTATCTGCTTATCAGCTTCATACCACTTTTGCCCAAGAGCAACCCAAAGCATGCTGTCCAGAGGTTTCATACACATCCTGCCCTATCACCAGTCTGTAAAGAGGACTACCAAATCAACAGATGACAGACATGCTAAGGGCCAGCTTATAATGGCATTGGCCACTACTAAGACCAGATGTAATGGCCATTTCATTGTGGAGGCACCTAATAGGCTCTTTAAATGAAATCAAGTTACTTAAAGCATATGAGCTATTTTTACTTCTTTTGGTGACATTATCTGTATTACACTCTAAATGTAATTAATATAAATGCAGTTATAAATGTACTTTTTATTGAACTATATTTTTAATCTGTCATTAAAAAATCTATCACATTAAAAATGTACAGTTTTATGCATTTATACTAATTAAAATTAGTTAAATTTATAGTAAAGAACAACATTGTGACATTTTAAAGTAAATATTATACATCTTTAGTTTATGAACGCCTTTTCGCACAACATAAAAAAAAAATTAGTATGTAAATTTTATTTTGTAAAATTTCATGTCTGTTTTTACACATCATACAGTTTTGTACAAATTCTGCTTTCTAGGTGTTAAAAAGTACCTGAAAGCTTTTTTGTTATGCCTGTTTCCTTAGTTTGTATCACATATATTCTTTGATTATCTTCATACTTGGTGATGAAGTATGTGTGTAAGAGTTATAATGTAGTAAGTTATAGCATTGATGATGTTACTTAATACATTCATAAATAAAAGGGGGAAGAAAAATTTAGATGTATATGTGATAAAGAATTAATTTTTTTACAAGTATTTCATTATAAATTTTGCACATTTTAAGAGATACTGCTACTAGGAGTACTTAATAATATATATATATTTTGTTCCCGTATGTTAATCAGTTTTCTAGCAAAATTACTGTGTATTAAAACAAAAAGCTCAAATACCTAAAATATTTTGACTACAGTCCTGCCACTCCTGGTTTTATTGGTAAACTAACAGTTTTTTATCAAGAGTCTTCTCCCGGATTTTAGTTTTCAGCCTTTGCTAAAGAGAAAGTTTTTCAGCAATAGATAAAATTTATTAAATTAATGAAGTTTAACTAGTGCAAAGTTCATTCGACCTCTAATGATCTAGAGAATAATTTTCTTATTAAATTTTTGTTTGATCTGAATTGTTTTAACCCACTGTATACTTTAGCAGAACTTTTTATGAAGATTATTAATTTTTATGATTGATGTTTAATCAGTTAATATTTGCATTTATTTTTGTTTTATGTTAAAATATAGCACATTATTAAATTTGTTCATAGAACAGCATGTGCATTAATTATTAATTTTACTTTCAGTATATTTAAAATTAATTTCATTAATAAAAGCTTTTCTTCTTTTCTTAAGATTTTCTCAGTATAAAGTGTAAAATAATTACAAAAAGAAATTAATCAAAGAATGTAAAATTTAGAATATCGAATTAAATATTAATATGTTTTGCATCAGAATAATTTTGTAAATAGTTCAATAATCTGAATCAGGCAGTATAAATTGAATTTGGCAGCTATGGTAATGATTCACTGGATTTTGGAAGAAAAAAGAAAAATTGTGTCTTACAGTATTCTAAATTATGTAAAAAAACACACATTTATATACCGTATTTGATGGCATATAAGACGCACCCTTATTTAGACGGCCACACACAAAGAAAAAAGTTTCAATAGTGTGGTTTCTTTTACTTCTCTTGTTTCGTAAAAGCCAAATAAACAATTATTGAATGCAATTACCTTCACGTATAAGACGCAGGTAACTTTTTTGAGACCAAATTTAGGGAAAAAGTGCGTCTTATATGCCATCAAATACGATATATATATGTTTGTAATGAAACTAAATTTAAATAATGTTTATATTTTTTCTTTAGTTTTGATGGCCGTGTTGTTGCAAAACTCCCTTTTATACCCATTGGATGGATTCAAGGATTATCTCATAGAAACCTCATAGGCGATGATTATAGTGATTGTTCCTTTATTTTTCTATACATATTATGTACCATGTCTATTAGGCAAGTAAGTAGAAACATAAATAAGTAGAAGAATTTTATTATGAAAATAAATAAAATTGCATAAAATTTATCAGAATCATACTGTAGTATGCACAAGTATTAAAAAAATCATTCTTTTAATATATGAGCTGTGTTTTTTTAATTTGTTAAGCTATGAACCTAAGTTGAAAAGTTAATCTTTTAAAAAAATATTATTAATACATTTAATAGCATAACATTACATTTATTTATAAACCGTTCTATTGCACCGTTCAGTATTATATTGATAAGATATTCTATAACAAATTTATGTGATATGTCTTAAAATCTGCAGTAATTTGTCATTGTAAAATTCAATTTAAGTATGTGTATGCTATATATAGAGCTAGAAAACCTAATGATTGAATTCAATTAACTGTTTATAGAAGACAAAAATAAATAACCTAATAAAAACACCATGAAAACTGATATCAATAAATTATTCTTAATAAGAGATTCATCAGTAATTTTAACTTTTAAGTTTGGTTTAGTTTTTGTTTATAATTAACACAAGTTGTCAAATACATTTATTATGAAATAGATAATGCATCTCATAAAAGTTGAATGATGTACAAATATGACTTTCATATTTTAAAAAAGGCCTATAATGTATAAAAGTATGAAAAGGAAATGTTCTTAAATTCAGTAATCCCATTTAAGAATCTTGTTTGTCTTTGCAATATATAGTGATATTTTGCAAAAGATTAATTGATTCAGTTAATACTTTGATCCGGAATCATTGGAAAGTATTTTCAGAAAATTTATACTTATTGCAGTTGTTAAATCGCAAAATACAATTAAGTTGAATTTAGTATTGTTGAAATAGTTTTGCAATAAGATTGTTTTATCAGGCTTTATGGATATGTTCATTAACAATGTTCATAAAATTTAGATGCAATATATGTGAAGAAATGTGATTCTACATGAATGTATCAGATTGAATTTTTTCAAATTTATCATTAAAATATTTTGCTGTAAATTTGTAAAATAAGGCTTCCCAAATTTTTGTGAGCATGAGGATTTTTTCCTTATCATGAGTTGCAGATCTGCAGGAAATTATAAAACAGTGATGATAATAAATAATATCCTGCAATCTAAAAGTTTTAGGTTATAGTCTACTACCTCATGAAAGTTTACCCATAAAAAGTTTTAAAATATAAAAAATTGAAAAATAGGAAAAAATAAATATTGTGCTTCTCTTTAAATAAAAAGAATAACTGCTACTCACTCATCATAAAACTAAATCTTTATTGTTGAATACAATTCAAAAAATAATTTCAATTTTCAAAGCTCTATTTATTTTTGTATTTCTTTTTTGAAAATAATAAAAATGAAAAAATGGGAAAATATTTTAAAATATATTGCTGTTTAAATAAATTGAAAAGAAAGTATAGATGCTTTCAAGTTACATACTGGTAAAAAAAATTCTTCATAACCATTATTTTTATTCTGGATGTAGATGGTAGCATACCGAAAAGGTAGAAGGAAAAATTTCACACTTTGTCTGTTATGAAGTGTTAAGAATTTACTTTTTATGACATTTGTGATACTGATAGCTAATTATTATTAAGAAGGTGATGTAAAAGTGACTTTTAAATGATTGACTTATACTGTATTGTAAAATGCATTTTATCATATGGATGATAAATGAAAGATCTTACACATCATTGATTAGCAGTAGTTTATATTTATTGCAATTATTTTCAAAGTAAAAACAAGTATCTCAAAAAACTTTCTTTGATGTATTATATATTAATAATGTAATATAATAATTTATAATGTAATATATGTCAATCCTTTCATTGCCTCAAAATGATATTAGAACTGATGGGTTGACCAGCTCCTCTGTATAAGAACAATGAAATGTTTAATCTACTTTTTATCATCTTATCTAGCTTTTACCTACCTTTTAGGCTTTATTACCGTACATTTTTAATTTGTAGAAATTTTAAAAAGTTTAGTTTTTCAAATATCTTTAATTGATAGAAGATCATGTTTTTACATGCACGATAAGTAAGTAAGATACACGTTTCTTTGATATTATGAGCTATATACTAAAATAAAAGGGAAAAAATTGGTTATAACGTAGTATGCAATCTGCATTTATTTATTTATTAGATGGTACTACTAAAATGTTATTTTTAGATATGAAAATAGATACAAATAATGAAATATATAAATAGAAATGATTTCATAAATTAATTTAATAACTCATATTTAATTCCATAAGTTTTAATTGCTTTTAATTTTGTAAAACTTTTGCATGAATAGCCCTTAGGGCTGTTTTTATGAGATGCTTAGCCATATACATTACAAATGTTGTGCAACATGGCCCAAAAATTGTCATCACTTCTATTAACAGATCTCCACCATATGCCTACCTTCTGGAAGCATTTGCAGTGTTGTACTCTGTATGTTGCAAAGCCGTTTTAGCTTCCAGCACAAATCAGTTGTTTAAGTATTGGTATTATATGTAGTTTGACAGTTTTTTTTATGGTTTGATGATTGTATTATGATCAGCCTGGTTTATTATAAGACCATCCATCGTCATAATAATTGAGCCAGGTATTACTTCATAATTTAATAGTAATAGCTGCATATAAATGAAAAGTTCAGTAGCTTTCGTATTTAAGCAGGTGATAAAATGAGAAAAAGAAATGATTAAAACAACAACCAGTTTTAAAAAAAAAAAAAGTCTATATTACATCATTAACGAAAATTCTTATTATTATGCAAATTTAAGAAATGAATTCCATTATGAAATGCAAAACTCTGCAAACAAACACATAGGATGTGGGACACAAATTATGTTCAGTGTAATTATCTCAGTGATAGCTTTTTTTAGATCCGGCAAAGCATTGTAGATTTTGGGAATGTGCTTATTATCAGTGTGCTAATGTGAGATCTTGGCACTCACTTTCAAAATACATTCCCATACATGAATTGCATAACCCTCTAATTATGCATTAAATAAATGTAACAACATATTTGCTCTTAGCAAGTGATCAGTATTACTTAGAGGTGTCTGTATTTGTTACCTGAAAAAGTAACAAAAAGAACATTGGGAGTTGCTTCTAAAAAGTCTATTTGTTTGATGCTTTTGTTTAACATTATGTAAGCTTATAAAAGTATTATAAATGTAATTATAAATGATAATATAAAATTTTTCATATTCTGTGTTCATTCTTTATTTTTCCTTGCAGAATATCCAAAAATTACTAGGATTTGCACCATCAAGAACTGCTAACAAACAGAGTGGGAATATTTTTACCCCAGCTGCACAGCCAATTAAATAACATTTTTTATAAATAAAGAAATTAGATTTTAATAGTGTAATCTTTTTTTGGTAAATAGAAATTCATTCATACAAAAATCTTTTTTACCTGTATTTATTCATTTTACTCTAAATATAGATATGTGGTAAACAATAAAAAATATTTCTTTTTATTACTTTTAATATGTTCATATTAAAACAACAAAAGCACTATCTGTAGAATTTAATAAAAATGCCATTGTTTTGCTAAACTTTTGTATGTTTTGAATGAATAGTATTTCTAACAAAGTCATTATCATATTTAAATAAAATCTTATTTATCATTTGACTTTTTAGACTTTATATTATTATTATTATTATTATTATTGAAGCATGGGGCATTTTTTCATTTCTTTTCTGGTGCATTTATTTTAATTTTAAAAGTTCACAAAATTATGGATTAGGTAAAGAAATGATAATATAAAACCTACTGCTGTATACTGTTTAAAAAAAATTAGTGTTTTAAGGAAAACTTTAATTTTTTTTTTTTTTTTTTTTAATTTTATTTTTAAGTTAGTCATCTGATTATTCTATAATGATGGAGAATGTGCTCTATTATTTGTATTCAGATATTAATGTACAATTATATTCTGTACTTTGTAATTATCTACCAATCTACTGAAAAGTCATAAAAATATTTATGAAAAGAAGCAATATGTTGTCAGTATAATTTTGTGACAATCCATGATGTCAGCACAGCTGTAAGAATAACAGCATGGGGGGATTAAAGTGTTTTATTACCGACATTCTTGAATTTAAATTTTATTGATTAATTTCTCTTGGAACTCTTAGTGCACTGGCATTTTGAAAATGGCCATTGCTTTTCATGCATTAGCTTCGCAAAAAATTAGTGACTCATGTTCCCGAATGCTCTCAAAAAGCTCCAATGAATTTATGATTTTTTGGCACGAGTACAGTTAATCAGAAAGTAATTATTTTCTGAATTATTATTTAAAATAAGAATAAAGAATTAACAAATGATATATCAACTATGGGTTTTTTCCTCTGTGTTCTATGGTTCAGTCTACTTTTTATAGGTGTGTTGTAGAGTAAAATCAATTGTAACAGAGATGTCAACCCTTCCAGTAAAACTAGTAAACTCACATTATGTAAATCGTGTCTCCCGGCTTTTAATTTATGTGAATTTTGACTGTGCTTTCAAATATAAAGAGGGAAAATATTGATAACTCTTAAAAGAAAAAGGAGTGTTATGGAGAAAATATTTTTTCACGTATTCTTAAAATATGTTATGTCAACTTAACTATATTTGACTGAAGACTTAACTATATTTAATGGATAGACAACATTTGTATTTAAATTTGTAAATAGCACGTTATTATTTATCCAGGAGATTATACAGTCAAAAGTCGTTAATTTGGACACCCATAATTTGGAATGATCTATAATCCGGACCTCAAAGCTGCAAACTTTCTGCGCATGCATAGCGTTTACGCGTGCGCGTAAGACCTTTACAGCTGCTAATTTGCGTGTGCGCATGCACATAATACGTTTACGCATGCACGTTTAATGTATAACTGACAGTATAAGCTAAGCTAAAATTATCTAATTCAGTTAATGTTGCAGATTGCGTTGTTAGTTAATCTTCGAATTGGATCCGGCTTGTTATTTTTTGCAGACTGTTAGAGCAATTTTATAAAAGTAAGCTTGAACTTTCGATTATGCCAAATAGAATTTCTGATATATATTTACTAATATGTAAAGGATCTACAAAGCGAAAGTATGTTTCAAAGTCCATTAAACAAAAAGTGGAATTGCTGCAAAAAATTGATAAAGGCATATCCTTTGTTTCTTAACCGTTTCGAAATCTCGAACTTGTTTATCAATTTCACGCTGCTCTGCGGGGGGGGGGGGGGCGCAATTAACTGGAAGTTGATCTGTCAGCACTGTCCTTATTTTCAGGGCAGATGTTTTTATTTTATTCAGCTTATAATTCCTTACTAAATGTAGTATTTCATCTTGATGTATTCCGTCTTTGATATGATTTAAATCAAATTCCTCATCATTATAAATATCACGAGTACACATCAAATAGTTTTCTGGTTGCAATTTTCTAATTTCAACTATGCGTAATGCATTCTTTACGCATGCGCGCGTTGAAAGAAATGTTTAATAAAGTAAACAAATAAATATTAAGCTTTTTTTTTTTTGTAAATTTTGATACCCTTTAGATCATAATTGTTCTTTATTTCATAAATTACGGTTTCATATTTTTAATTTTGTAATTTCTGCATGCCATCTTACCAGATTTAAACTGATGATCTATAATCTGGAAAAATCGATAATCCGGAATCACCAAAGTCCTGACGAGTCTAGATTAATGACTTTTGACTGTGTCAGCATTTTTTTTCCACCCTCTCTTCTATGTTCTGTTGTTCAGTCTACTTTTTATAGGTCTGTTGTAGAGTCAAATAGATTGTAGTATAGATGTCAGCCCTTCCAGTAAAACTTGTAAACTTCCAATATGTAATCATGTCTCTTGGTTTTTAATTTATGTGAATTTTGATTTTGCTTTTAAATATAAATTGAGGGGAAATATTGATTACTGTTAAAAGAAAAAGGAGTTCTATGAAGAAAATATTTTTGAAAAATTCTTAAAATATGTTATCACAACTTATGAAGACTTAACTACATGTAATGGATAGACAACATTTGTATTTAAATTTGTAAATAATACATTATTATTTATCCAGGCTAATATGCACATTAGTTCCTAATTTTATATTCATTAAATTTAAAAACATTTTGATAAGCAATTATTTCTTTTCTACTTGCATTTTCATCAGTAACATAAACAAATGAATATAAAATTGAATGAAATTTTGTCCAAAATTACAGCTTAATATAGTATTTAATCAGAATTTTAATTCATTATATTTTATGTTAAATCCATTTAATTAATTTAATAACTAAAATTTGACTTTAAATCAGATTTGCCAATTTGGAGTCCTTTCGAATTAGCATTGTCATGTGATGTGAAAACCTCCTGGTTTTTCCTATTTCAAAGTTGACTGCTGTGGTCAGAAATTATCTCAGTTATTTTGTTTCACTTTATGTATAAAAAGTGTATACAAACACTATGCAAGCCCACATCATAAAGTAGTTAGACTTAGACTCTATAATTGACCGAGCTATTGCGAAGAGCAATGTTGCTGGTTCCAAAATTAAAGCCCAAGGGCACTTGACATAAATAAATCTGGACGTGGAGAAAATCTCAGTGAGGAAAGCGAGATAGGGGAAAAAAGGAAGTACCAAAGGAGGCAAGACAATCCAATCGGACAAGTTCGCAAAAGGTGACGAGCGATCATAGCTTTCAAGGAGGACCCAAGAAATGAAATCAATGACAACAATATGAGAAGATACACTACAGCAATAGTTCCAATGACAAATTCAAATAATATTAAACAACATCAATCAGTTAGTGCTAAATACAACATATACAAAACAACTATACAACACAATTTAAATACCAATTATTCAACGAAGCAACAGAAGAACTTCAATCAAAAAATCAGAGCATTGGAAGTGTAAATAGCTAACAATTGAGGATCTAAGTGAAAAAGTGTGTCGTCTCTCTATGAAGGTGTGAGCTGCAAGTGGTCTGACGCTTCTATCTTCGAAGAGAATTTCATATAAAAAACTTGGGAGTAATTAACAAGTCACATGCACAGCTTTGTTGAAGAATTTTTCATTAGTCTTCTGATGTATCTGGAATCGCTCAAGTTTTAAGTCTTGTGTAAAAGTTTATGTGGATAAGATAGTGAGAATCAGTAATAATCGCAAAATTTGTTTTTGCACTACTTGTAATTGATGCAGTTGAGTTTGAGTGACCGTGTTCCAAGCAGGAGAGCATACAAAGTATCGGTTGAATACAGTGGTATATATATGTTTTTGGTACACAAGCTAAGATTTGAAATTTTCCAATGAACGGGAGAAATCTGCATATTATGCCCATGGCTTGCTCTTGACACTATTAATGTGATTAGACCATGTGAGCCTTGGTCAAAATTAATTCCTAAGTATTTGGCCTTGTGACAGAGGAAAGCTTCCTGAAAAAGGTAGAGGTCTTTAAAAGCAATGTTTTTCTTAGTTTTGCTAAGAATTAAAAGTGTTGACTTGCTAGCATTGTTTTTACTCGCCAATTTGTGCACCAGTCTTCTACGCATAGAGGTAATTTTGCATTTTGTCTATTGCATGATTAGCTTGAATGGAGGTAATTGCAATCGCCGTATCGTCGGCAAAATGCTAACAGAGAGTAATTGTCCAACCGGGATGAGGAAAATCTGATATGTAGAAAAGATTAGTACTGGACCGAGAATACTTCCTTGTGGGACGCTGGATCTTATAGGTGTTGAATTGGATTTTTCATTTCCTTGAGCGACGAAGAAGAAAGTGCGGTTTTGCAAAAAGGAGATCAGAAGAATGAGCTCTCTAGGAAGTCCCAAGTTATAAGCTTGAAGACGAGCCCCTCATGCCAGACGCGGTCAAAGGCTTTGCACGTCCGCATAAGGAGCGCAACACTTTGCTTGTTATGGAATGCAGATCCCAAATTCTACAATTCTACTAGTTTCAGAGTGTTTATATAGGGTTGGTAGGTCTTTAAATCCTTAGGTTTTGGAATCGATTTTGGGGCTTTAATTTCATTCAAAATCGCATAAGAATCGTTATTCACCCCCCCCTTTTTTTTTTTTTAACCCAGAAGGCAAAAAAAAAATTATACACAAAAATTTAAGCAGCTGAATTTCTGTTTGCCTTTTCAGTCCATTTTGAGTGTGAATAAGCATTTGGAAGCTATTTTGGCGATTCACCAATAAAATTATAGTCTCTTTGAAGGGTCATGGGTTATAGTGTTCCTATTTCTAATATAAACAGTACGATACTTGAGTTCCTGGGCAAGCATTTCGAAATTATTTCATTTTCTCTAATGAAGAGCTCTTAAATAAATTTTCGCTTTTCAGAATGTAAGTTCATTTATTAAATGGTTCTGAATTTGGTCACTTATCAACACTTGGCAATTTTAAGTTATAGAAAACTCCTAAATCCGAGATTTCCGAATTTCTCGACGATTTCTTAGAACATTATAATATTAATAAATTTCATTAAAATAATGATAATAATGTGTACAATATGATAATATAGTAAAACATAAGCCTTTTGAAATTATTTAATTTTTTTTAATGAAAAGCACTTGAACAACGTTTCGCTTTTGGGATGTGAAAAAATTATACAGGGCAAAAATTTTAAGCAGCTGAAATTTCTGTTTGCTTTTAC